TAATTGACATACATCATTTTATAAATATAACATGTACAGAATGATGGTTTTGTCTACTGTAGTTTGTATTTACCTGATTTTATCTTTACCCACTTATCTCATTTCCGTAAAATAAAATGAAACAGCATGGTATAGTTGAAATTCCACAAATTATTCAGCATTGTGGAAGATAAAGTATGTGCAGATTTGTATGTACTTTGGAAATATATGATCAAACAGAAAGGCTTACAGACTCAAAGCTCAGATATTCTTTGAAGAATTTGAATAATTCAATAATCAGATCAATGGTAGACTTGGATTTTTTTTTTAAAGATTTATTTATTTGTCCATATAGAACTGGGGTACAGGCCAGAGGCTCAGGGGTGGCGAGAGGCTTCATGAGAGACAGAGTGGGGAGCAAAATAGGCAGAACAACGAAGTACACTGCTGAGGGGAGCAGCGGGCAGGTCAGGAGAGGTCTGCCACGCCATGTGGTCACCTCCGGGGCAGGCAGGGATCGAACTCATGCGGAAGTGACTTTAGCTTCTGAGTGCTGTGGCTGTGCTTTAACCCGCCGCACCACTAGGGAGGGTCTAGACTTGGATTTTAAGTGAACTCACTCTAATGTGTTTAGATGTTGATTTAGGTTGCACATTTGTAACTTGTATAATGTTATACAGCAACACTACTTCAATAAATATTTTTTACAGTTACATGAATACACTTTGAAGACCAAACTAATCAGCACTAATCTAGCACTCCTTAATCCAAATGAACATATTGTAAACAACTCATATTCTTTGTTGAAGATAGGTGGGCGACCCCCTTAGACTCAGCATCCTCTAATTTCAGCAGCAGCTGTGGTGGACAGTTCCCCGCACAAGACCAGCCTCCCACCCCAGAGGCCTGCAGTACAATCTCTGGATCTCTGTACAGAGCTTCCCTAAGTAGCAGCTCTCTCAGGCTGGAGTGTGTGTACCGTTCCCTGACAGACCACACACCATGCCCTGACATGCACACTCAATTGTCAAAATTCTTAAGTCAGTAGATAAATGCTCTTGATAACCATTGTTTTTGACACATTTACTCAGAGTCCTCCAGTGATAACCAGATCAATAACTCATCTCAGTTTTCTTCTCTTTACTTTCTTGTTTACCCTGTTATTTGACTCTTCCTTCCTCGAGTTGCCTCTGAAATAAGCTACTTGCACCTAATTCCTTATCTTCCATTCTGCCTTAAGTGGAATCCAAAAATGGCATTCCTTTATCCAAGATTGATTATTATGTCATTGCTATCTCAAATTTGATGAAACCTAAAGAGAAAGAAAGTCTATTGGAATAAAGGGGGGTTAACTTTTGCTTTTGCTTTTTTCATATTTTTGCATTTCAAGATTTGGTCACAGGTTTTATGTAGCCACATTATTTGAAATTTTCCTACCTTTCCTTATATGCACTGATCTTTTTTTCCTTGCATTCAACAAGATATATGTCATATTGAGATTATCATAGCATAAAATTTTCTTTTAATTTTATACTTATTCTGTGTAGTTGCCTGTGCAAATGATATTCTACTGACATTTTTAAAAAACTTATTGATCTAATTTACTGATTAAGGAGAACTGAATTAAGTCATATTCAACAAATTAGATCCATGAGATAATCTAAACTTAAAAATATTCTACCATTTATTTATTTATTTATTTTAAAGATTTATTTATTTATTCGTACAGAACTAGGGTACAGGCCAGAGTTGCGGAGGGTGAGAGGATTCACCAGAGACAGAGCGGGGTGCAGAACAGGCAGATCAACGAAGTACACTGCTAAGGGCAGCAGCGGGCAGGTCAGGAGAGGTCTGCCATGCCATGTGGTCACCTCCGGGGCAGGCGGGGATCGAACTCATGCGCAAGTGGCTTTAGCTTCTTAGTGCAGTGCTTTAACCTGCTGTGCCACCAGGAAGGGCCTCTACCATTTATTTTTAAAAAGGCTTTTGGATCCTGCTGCACTGATTAATCTTCCACCCCACTCAGCAGAATATGATTTCTTCATGGAGACAATGAACACTTTGAAATGAAATTAGTGAGTAAAACTCATTTGACCTTTTGGTAATTCCTAAGAGTATCTTTTTAGATATACAAACATATTGTCATCTAGTCAAAGTCTAAGAGAGAAAGCAGTGGACTCATCAGGTGGCTTTTCTTGTCTTATTGACTAGAAGAGGAGTAGGGGCTTCGTCAGATGGTATTATGCATATTAAAAGGATGTTCAGTACCTAGTGCTATTTATCAATGTGACTTCAGATAGTTATGAGCATTATTTATATGAAAATGCATATATGAATTATTGAGAATGAACACACAATTAGTACAAAATAAATGTCTTTTGCTTGGTGTCCTCTGTTGTTTTGTGGTAAAGTGTCAATCATTTGTTCTCTGTTGGAAACGAAAAGTAATTTTTAAAATAATCCCTTGGATTAGTTTAGATAGAATGCACAGGTTTAGATCCCTCTTTGTTTTGCAATGTGGGAAAGGTTCAGCTTTTTTAACCCCTCAAAATCTTCGAATAAATAGTCTTTCATGGCTCAGAACACAGATGTCATTAACTCTATATTATATATGTCATTAACTCTATATGTCATTAGCTCTATATTTTTGTCAGTCTAACTGTAAGCAGGCTATATTACATTAAACTTTTTTGGCCATCTGTAATATATTCATTCCTCTTAGCATGAAGCTGATACACTGACCACTAAAACTATATCTTAAGAAAGTTATTACCGAAAAGTTACATAATTTTTTCCTGATTTTATTACTGATTATAAGGAAGTAAATTTGTTGAACATTTTTAAAAAAGATTCATTTGTGCATACAAGAACTAGAAGTACAAGCCTGAGGTACAAGGGGTGAGAGGATTCACTAGTGACAAAGTGGGGAGCCAGAATAGGGGGACCGATTGAAACATACTACTGAGAGGAGCGTGAGTATTCTGATGTGTGGATTATTCCCTAAGGTAAAGGACAACTTTTAGGAATTCAATTTTTAATGCACATCCTTGAGCACTGGAGTGGCTAAGAGATGTACTACAGTTTGCGAGACATCTGATTAGAACCTGTGAAAGATTTAGTGAATTGCTTTACTAAAAAATCCTGGTTTTGGATACTTTGTTAATGTGTAGTGGGAAGATATAAAAATGGGAAATAAATAAAAACAAAATAGGGCCCTCCCTGGTGGCGTAGTGGGTTAAAGCAAAGCACTATGAACGTATCACAGCCACTGCAACGTGAGTTCCATCCCGGCCAGGGAGGTGACCCACATGGCACGGCAGACCTCTCCTGACCCGCCCACTGCTCCCTCAGCAGTGTATTTCAGTACCTCTGCCTGTTCTGCTCCCCACTCTGCCTCTCACTCTCTCACCACTGGCCTGTCCCCCAATTCTGTATGCATGAATAAATAAATCTTTCTTTAAAAATAAACTAAAATAAAAACAATATACCTGCGGGGATTACAATTGAGATGGAAAAAAAGAAGGAAAAAAAAGAAAAAAAATGTACAAAATGATGTAAAAATAAACTGTTATATATATATAAAAAAAATACCAAAATCTTTCCCTCGATTTTATACTGCTTCCTTCTTAGAGACTGCTGCAGAAGCAGACAGACTCGCTAAGAATATAACCAGAAGAATCAAGCAAAACTTGAAGTTTTGCTGTTGTTTAGACTGCTAGGAATTAACTCATTAGAATTGATTGTTTTGTTTGCATAAACTTTCTTCAGTTATGATGAGTGAGGGCACTGTTAGAGGATCTAGAAGAAGATTCAGAGATATAAACCAACTTTCTGAATAATAAACTAACAGGAATTTGAGAATTCTCCCTAGCCTGAGGATAGAAGGAAGCCTGTGGCCAGGCTTGGTGGAACAGAGAAAATTGAATGCAAAGGTAAGAGCAGTTTTCACCAGATAAAAAGGCATTTCCCCAGAAGAAAATGTCTCTTCATAGTACCCATGGCTAAGAACCTAAAAATAACTAAATAAATGCTGTTTCAAGTTCAGTGTGAGAGGGTTTTAATTTTTGGTTTTGCCACAAAGGCGAAAGCAATGGGGAATTTGTGAGGCCCAGAATCTGGCATGAGAAGGACCTATTCTTACCATTGCATCCCTAGTTAAAAAACAAAATTCAACTGAGAAAAATTTGAAGATTCTATTGGCTTGATTCAGCGGTTTGGGCAGCAGATAGAAAGGGCCTACCAGATAGAAAGGGTCGCCAGCGAGCTGCAAAGGCGAGACCCTGCACAGGCTGGAGGACAAGGAGTCCTTTGGCAAAAAGCAGTTGATCGTTGCCAGGTTACACCTCCCAGCACATGGCAGGTCTCAGGCAGGTCTCTGGCCGGGATGAGGGTCTGACTAGTTTAAGATTACATTTCTCAGAGAACTTAGATGGCAACTGAGGCCCAGTTTGGTGATGTGGTATTTAGCATAAGCAACTCAATCTAGTTTTTAAGTCTCCTGGATGATAAGAGAGGGAGCCGATTTACCAGTGTTTGGGCCAGGACCTTAGCCATTTTTAAACAGGTGTCAATGTAAACATTTATCTCTGAGAGTAGGTAAAATAAAGCAAGCACTTCTGTATTTGTTGTGAGTATTTTCCACTCAGTCAGTGTGTGAATTTTGGGGGAGCTGCCTGTCTAGTTTGTGATCTGAGTAGTATGTTATTTTACTCTTTTTTTCATACAATATCCTATTTTTATTTTCTTATTTATGTCTCTAATGAAAATAACCAGTTTTGACATTTAAGGGCAGATGAATTTGAGGGAGATAAAATATATATATACATATATATTTACATATTTATAAATGTGTGCTTGCTTAGTTGTTTATTCACCTACTCATTTATTCATCTAATTCTTTTATGCCAAAGTGAATACAACAATTATAGTTTTGTAATTTTGCCTTTTACATTTTCTTTTATATTTTAGCATCTTGTAGAGATTTCCCTTTTTCAATTATCTGTTAACGAATAAGTGATGAAAGCAATTGCATAAAACCATGTTCACCAGAAAGTTAATTCTCTGAAGGCTATTGAGAAGAAAATAATTCTTGATCTCCACCACTGGGAAGCTCCCACAGCTGACGTCCGGCGACCATCACTCTCTGGGCCCCGTGGTATGCAGCCTCTGGCTTGTGTTGCCTGATTTGCAAGAACTACTGTGAGCATCACTTGCTAACTTTGCAGTCAGGGATGCTGCATGTGAAGACTGAGCTCAGCCATCGTGGGAAGGTGTCTCCAGGGCTTTTGTTGAATTTTCATGGGGGTGCTGTTGAAAGTCAGTTATTAATCATTCACAGCTCATACTGGATACCTGGCGTGAGCAGATAAAGACAGACTTTCCTGATAGGGACAGAACAAAGTTACTTCAAATAATTTTTATGAAGGAAAAAACTTATTTTAAAATAAAATGTAGTCAATTAAAATACTGTTCTTAATTCTGGAAATCACTAAGCTTAATTTAGATTCCAGTCAAGTAGATGAGAAGTACTATCTCAGATCAGCAGAAGCCCGCAAGTACATGGTTTGAGTGTGCAAACACCTGCTCACTTCAGGGACCAGATAATGAATTCTATCTAGACATCTGGCTAAGCATCTGCCTTATCTTTCCAATTTCCTTTTGAGCCAATAGCTGATTATTTCTGGTGCTTTTGTACATTACACATTTTAATTCTTTAAATTTCCCCAGTAGTTTTTTTAAACAGGTGCACATTCTCTGAACTATTTGCACAGCCAGTGGTTAGAGCAAAGGTTATACGAACAGTTCTCAGCTTTTTCCACAATGTATTTTTGCCCTCATCTTCTTCATCAAGCCTTCCCCATCTGTGGGGTATTGCTGCTGATTTTTAAACAGCAGTGTGACATTTACTACACAAACTTCAGAAACAGTCAGCCCTCTTTGCCTTTGCTGGAAAAAAAAACACTTAGATAGGGTAACATAGTTGAAGATGTCCTGAGGGGACTTGATTGTCTGTCCTGCAGTAGGTGAAGCAAGGTGCTCTTACACACAGTGAGTCCTTTCTATGCACTTACCCACCTCCCAAAGTCTGCTCTTTAATATTCCACTTCCTATCAATGAGTGAACTTGTGCTATGTTGCTTGATCTCTATGTGGTCTCTCACATCATCCAAGGCAGACTTGTTTTTCCCAATCTCAGAATTTTCTGGTGCCCTTCTATGCTGGCGAATTTTGACCTACTCAGTAACAAGCCCTCGGTTGTCTCTCAGATGCTTATTAGGACCAGCTCGCTTGGACAGCTTTTGTGCTACAAACACAAGAACTCCTCATTGAACCATTTCACCTTTGCTGTTGACTCCAGTACTAGATATATAAAATATTATCTGAGCACTCAATTCATAAAGACCTAGTAAACTTCCTGCTTCACTATACTCCTCAAATCCTGTAGCAACTGTCAAATTCAGTCATATTTCTGGGATTTTTGTAAATAGGAGCCAGTAGGATTCTTAACAATAGATAAGAACCCTCTGTCAAAGCCTAGTTTTTCTTTAAGACTCTTGCTTTCTGGCAGACTTTGTTTTTTTATGATTTCAGTAATGTGTGTAGTTGCTGTAGTTCATGTAATTCCAGGATTTCAATGTATTTGACTGGTCCTTAAATTTCAGCTGGGTTCATCAGCCTGTCTCTGTATATCATGAGTCACTATAGTCCTTAACTCCTCTTGAACTTCTAAGTCAGAAGGAAAATAAGGTTAATGTAGTTGCAAACTAAAAAATATGCAGAGAGAACTATCTAAAGTGTCAGAATTGAAAAATAAATATCTCAGTGTGTATGTGATATCTGCAAGGATTAAATATGCTCCCCATTATATAGAATTGTGTACTTGGTGAAAGACTGAAAGCATTCAAAATGATAGTTTACTAAATGCCTTGATATTCTGAAATTTAGGGTCTAATTATCCACTTGTAGAGACCCTTTTAAATGCATCCTTAGTAGTTCAAAGTCCAAGAAAATACTACAAAAATAGGCCTAGGGGAGTTCTTTTTTATAAATGCATTGCCAAATTCACTTGCATTTAATGTCACATAAGACCTCTGCCCAACCAATTTTCAATGCAATACGGAGTTGACAAGCAGGTCTGAGGTTGTTAACGTTAGAGGTGTGTTGGCAAGGTTGATGCTGAGTTAGGATCCAAAAACTTATATAATAAACCATTCCCTAGACTGCTGTAAACTCTGCTCAAATGGTGGGAGTCACTCTGCCTACAGTTCATGTGGAATCTAGCAGTGGTGGCATTTTGCTACATGCAAGGAAGAATTACTCTCCGTGAGTCTCCAGTGAGTGTCTCCTCACAACTCCTGTGCTTGTCAGACTCATTTCTGGAAATATTAAGCAGGCTTGTGTGACTCCATTGGGGTGGGGGTGATGGGAGGGACGGACTCTCCTATGCTTGTCTGTACCTGGTTTCCTGCAGAGTTTACCCCATGTGACTTTTTATTTGCTGCTTTTGCTGTGTATCCTCTTGCTATAATAAATATTAATAATAATAAATATTATTATTTATTATAAATATTAGCTGTGGACATACTATATATGCCAGTCCTATGAGCCTATCAGGCAAATCATAAAATATGAAATTTTGGGGTGGGGGCCTCTGACACACAAACTTGGTGGAAAAGTCTACATTAAGATATACATATTCTAAATTGAGTACCACTGTGAATGGAATTATTCTAAGTGAAACCAAATCAAATAGACAAGACCTGTTCAATGATATTAACTGCATGGTAGTTATTTCTGCATACAAAAGAGGATAAACAGAATACAGTTGACTCTTTATCAACATGGTAGTTAGGAGCACTAGCCACTGCTCAGTCAAAAATTCATGCATAACTTTTGATTCTGAAAATATTTAAGTAGTAGCCTGTTGTGACTTGCTTCATAAGGAAGAGAAAATCTGTTTATAGTATTCTGTTGTATTTATTGATACTATAGTTTTCTACCACCTGTTTACAAGAAAAACCATGAATGCAAGTCAGCCTCTTGTCAGGGGTCAGTTGTGTTCAGTGAACTGAATCAAAGCAGAACAAGCAGGACACTCCTGTTTAACATCTTTCGGGTTAAGTAGAAGTATACACACTTCATTTTTAAATTATCAGGAGAGCTACAGGCTTGTAAATTAGTCTAAAAAGAGAGAGATGAATCAGGAGGAAGGGAAGCTTTGGAAGGATTCCCTTCTAAACTTTCCCTTGAAACTTTGCAAATATATAGAGGGTATAAGCAAAAAAAAGTAAATATAGAGCATATCGAGGAAATAAAATATAATAACCATTGGTGTTGATAGCACAAATGAAATGCCAGTAATTTGAAAGCCTTATTTATGACAATTCCTAATGAATTTATGGATTATTACACAAAGCTTATCAAAATGTCTTATCGTTTAAAAAAGATCCTCCTTAAATTCAGGAACTGAGCTTACTTAATGTTCTACCAGTTTTGGTTTTTTTTTAAGTTTATTTACTTATGCATACAGAACTGGGGTACAGGCCAGAGGTGCAGGGGCGGTGAGAGGATTCACCAGAGACAGTGGAGAGCAGAACAGGTAGACTGATGAAGTACACTGCTGAGGGGAGCAGTGGGAGGGTCAGGAGAGGTCTGCCTGCCATGTGGACCACCTCTGAGGTGGGGATTGAACTCATGCGGAAGTGGCTTTAGCTTCTTAGTGCTGTGCTTTAACCCACTGTGCCACCAGGGAGGGCCTCTACCAGTTTCTAATGAAGCTTTTTCTTTCCTGCTGTCCTTCGTTTAGGTCCATAATGAGTGACAAACAGGACTCCAACTCTTCAGCAGCCTGGCATCACACTTGGAGTGTTAATGACACAAAGCAGTATCGTTCCTCAGACATAAATATTACCTTTGTGAACTACTATCTTCACCAGCCTCAAGTGGCGGCAGTCTTCATTATTTCCTACTTTCTGATCTTCTTCCTGTGCATGGTGGGAAACACGGTGGTTTGTTTTATTGTAATGAGGAACAAACATATGCATACAGTCACTAATCTCTTCATCTTGAACCTAGCAATAAGTGATTTACTAGTTGGAATATTCTGTATGCCCATCACGTTGCTGGACAATATCATAGCAGGTATGTTGACCTGTGTGCACTGTGAGATGAGGGGAGAAAATGTCACATACTCCCATAGCCACCGGAGGGTCCTCCACGCATTCACAAATACTTATGAGGGTCTAAGAATTGCTGCACATACATCCCCCATGAGGTCTACTTTCTAAAAGAGGAGAAAGAAAATAAATAGATGTATAAGTTGTCAGAAAATAAATGTATACAACTAACTATAATCTATTTCCATCAAAAATTCCTGTTGTTACAGTTTAGAGGCCTGGTCTTATTGCTCAAAACCTAATGGCAGTTGACTCATGCTGCTTTTACTTATGATTTCTATTTTGTTTTTCTTATTGAAAATGCTTGGGGCTTCTCTTTGTCCTAGTGTTCAGAGTTTCAGGCAGTTATGCTCGGATAAATCTTTTTATTTTTCATTTACTATGCAGGACACAAACTAAGATCCTTCAGTCAAAGAATGAAGACCTTTCAGTCTGGAAAACTATTTTGTGAAGTGCTCTTCTGTTTTCCTTTTTTTTTTAAAAAAAAAGTTTATTTGTATTCATACAGAAATGGGGTGTACAAGTCAGAGGTGCAGGGACCGTGAGAGTCTTCACCAAAGACAGAGTGGGGAGCAGAACAGGCAGGTTGTCTGATGGGAGCAGCAGGCAGGTCAGGAGAGGTCTGCCACGCCATGTGGTCACCTCCAGGGCAAGGAATCTAATTTGCACTGAAGTGGCTGCCACTAGCTTGCAATGCTTCATGGTAGTGTCACCAGCGAGGGCCCTCCTTTTTTTTTTTCCTTTTTAAATGTAGCAATCAGATATCGGATGTTTTGTGTTGCCCTTTGAGAATTATTTTCCATTTTCTACCCCTAATTCTACTTTCAAAGATTTTCTCAACTTTTTTTCCCCAAAGTTTACATGAAGTTCTTAATTTCTGTTATCATATTTTACATTAATTGAGCTATTTTTATTTTCTACGTGTTCCTTATACAGTCATGCACATTTCATGGATAAAATGTGTTGTAATCCTGCTATTATTAGTAATAATAATAATTATTATTATTTGATATTAAGTTTCACCTTCCTAATTCACATTGATTTCCTCCTAAGTTTGTTTCTTCCTATTTTCATCTTGTTTTTCTATTTGAGGTTTCTCTCATGTCAACTGTTACTTAGCTGCTTGTGTTTTAAAGTGAGGTACTGTGTAGCCTGGCAGTTGAGGATAAGGCCACCCTCAGCTCTGCTGTATAAGTCATTTGCTAGGAATCCACAACTGTTAAAATATTCTCCCCAGTGTTCTTGGGCAGATTACTTCCCCCAAAGGAAACCCTGTATCTTCCATAGGGATCTAAGGCTGGCTGCTGAAAGGGTCTTTGTCCAGCCATCTTGCACTCTGTCCTTATTCCTTCTGCGCCATCATGACACCCAGGCCACCTTCCTGGTGACTCAGAGTCCAGAGTCCCTGTGCTTACACCACCTGAGTGAGTGACCCCCACTCTTCTACTGCCTTGGGGAAAAGCCAGTTCCATCTTACTCCATTTATACACAATTCAGCCAATCATGTTGTTTTTCCAGCATCACATTCAATAGTATCCACCACCTCAGTTTCTGCAGATTTATATATATTTTTTGTCCTCGTGCTGTTATTTCAGTGGAGTTTAGTGAGGGATATGAGATAAATCACATGGTTATTCTTCCATTTTCAATCAATGGCTGCATATCTCTTTTGCATTTTTGTTGAAGAATGCTACCATGATATCCTGATATCCAAACATATTATAGGACTGAAAAGACATTCTTTGTCTGGTTTCTAGTTAGCAGAGTCATTGACTGTTAAGATGGTTCGGATAAATAATATATATATACATTTTTTGTACACTTGGATTATTTAGGCTCAGGATATTTCAAATCAGGTGATAGAGAAAAAAATGTTTTCTATTTAAAAAGATAGAACTCTCATACATCTACCCTCATAGTCTAGTCTACACCTAATTGCTTTTTAAAGCCCCACCTCCAAATATCACCACATTGGAGGTTTAAGGCTTCAATATATGAATTTGGGGTTGGGATGGAGCACAAACATTCAGCCACAGCAATGTACCTCTAAGGTAAATTGTCTTATTAAAGTATATATATATATTTGTTTAGTAACATTATTCTACATGTAACTCCAGATTCTTCATAATACATGGAGTACACTTCCATATTAGAAAACCATTGGCTGGTTTTATTTGTTTGAAGGGCAGTATTGCATGTGGATTAATGCATTGTACCCTATGACTGGGGTTTAAATCCTTAATATGCTGCTAACTAATTTTGTGTCAAGATACATGATATTTATGTGGCATCACCTTGTCAAAAAGTTAAGGGAAGTAGATATCTTAACAGAGGCAAAGAACTTATTACAATACCAAGAATGTTTTAACTAAGTTGTGAAATCATTATTAGTGTACTGAAAAAGGGAACACTGGCAGTACTAGTGAAAATAGTGGGGCGCTCTGTCCTCTGGCTGTTATTTAGAACACAGTTGCCTCAGTATTCTTTTATGCCTTCTTATTCATATTTTCAGTAGTATTTTTTTTAATATGATATTTTCAAAGACTGACTCTTCCATTTCTCTTTCAGGATGGCCATTTGGAAGCACAATGTGCAAGATCAGTGGCTTGGTCCAGGGAATATCAGTTGCAGCTTCAGTTTTTACGTTAGTTGCAATAGCAGTGGATAGGTGAGTTAGCCCTAAAATCTGAATCCAGAAAAATAGCCATGTCCACAACTAATCTACTTGACTGTGGAAAAGTGTATAATCTACTAGATTGGGTATAACTGTCAAAATTGTATATTTTACAAATAATAGCTATTGCACCTTCAAGAACAAGGTGTGTGTGTGTGTGTGTGTGTGTGTGTGTATTTTAGTAAGAAAGTTAATCTAATTTCCATATTTTAAAATTGAATAACTAGGGACAGTTAATTCATAATTATTTCAGGCTGCCCAAACAAGTTACCAAAGACTTCATGAGTTAAACAACATAAGTTGGCATCTCAGATTTCTGGAACACAGAAGGGTGGAATGGAATATTAGGTCATAGAAAAAGCCAAGAAGTTGACTTTTCATGGGACTGTCTTTCATTTGAAGTAGTTTATATGTTGTCTTGAAATTAACAGGGAGCTACTGAGGTCCCTTAAGACAAGGGAATAATGACTATTTTCATTTGAGGGGGGAAAAGGTAGAAATAACTCAGATTTGTTTTAGACTAGAGAAAAGAAAGCAATTAAGAAACTTGAGTGGCTCGGATGGGTGAGGACACACCATATAGTAATGCAGTGATAACTGGAACGGAGAGAGAAATTGAACAATGACTAAGTGAAGAAAAAGGTCCAAAAGGAAACAAGCAGTAACCAGCCTGTAGCTACACAGAGACACACACACGCCATGTGTGAGATAGATGAGAGAGGGGGAGTGGGTGAGAGGGCGAGGGAGAGCTAAAAAAGCATGAAATGCCATGGAATTGTTGTCATCAGGGAAAAAGAAAATACTAGTAGATAATTATGGGCAATTTCCCCCCATTTTTTAAGTGAGGAAGCTTTAAGCGACAATTGATGCCAACCAATGGAAAAGAATCCATCAGTATATGCTAACTAAAACTATTCCTTTTATTAATAAGTGTATGATATAGCCCACTTAGTCATATTTTATGTTGAAATTCATCTCATGTCAGATACAATAAACAACAAGGCAAGTCTTTCGACCAAGAATCATAACATTCCATATTTTTGAGGAGAATGTGGAAATTAAATTTAATTCATGACTCAGAGTGAAGAGCTGTCCTCACCCACACTTGTCTTTACAGGTTCCGGTGTGTCATTTACCCTTTTAAGCCAAAGCTCACTATTAACACAGCGTTTGCCATTATTGTGATCATCTGGGTCCTGGCCATCACCATTATGTCTCCATCTGCAATCATGTTACACATAGAGGAAGAAAAATACTACCGAGTGAAACTCAGCTCCCAGAACGAAACCAGCCCTGTCTACTGGTGCCGCGAAGACTGGCCGAACCAGGAGATGAGAAAGATCTATACCACTGTGCTGTTTGCCAACATCTACCTGGCCCCCCTGGCCCTCATTGTCATCATGTATGGCAGGATTGGGCTCTCACTCTGCAAGACAGTGCCCCACATGGGCAAACATGGCCAGGAGCAGTGGCACATTGCCAAGAAGAAGCAGAAGGTGATTAAGATGCTGCTGATAGTGGCCCTGCTTTTCATTCTCTCCTGGTTGCCCTTGTGGACGCTGATGATGCTCTCAGACTACGCTGACCTGTCTTCAAATGAGCTGCGGGTCGTCAACATCTACATCTACCCTTTTGCACACTGGCTGGCCTTTTGCAACAGCAGCGTCAACCCCATCATTTATGGCTTCTTCAATGAGAATTTTCACCGAGGCTTCCAAGATGCTTTTCATCTGCAGCTCTGTAAAAAAAGAGCAAAGCCTAAGGAAATCTATGTCTTAAGAGCTAAAAGCAATGTGGTCATAAGTTCAGCTCATCAGTTGCCCCACAAAACTACATTTCAAGACTAGCATGGGGAAAATTTGCTTTAGAAGAAAAGTGCTGAAAACGCCAAACAGGAAGTAATGTTGAAAGAAGTAGAAGCTCCCAATCATAATAAGGTTGAAAAAGAGATAATGTGATGATTTCCTCTACTGTGTTAAATACTGTTGCTTTTTTTTTGGGGGGGGGGGAGAAGGGGGACTGTTACTGCAAGTTTCTAAGAATATTATAAAGAAAACCTGAACTGAAAGCCCTCTCTGGAAAAGAGAAGTAAATGAACATTATATTCACCACCAACCTGTGATATATAAAATATGTACAGTGACTCATACATGTTTGTCTTATTTAAATTCATTTAATAGAAATAGTCTTTAGCCTGACTTTTTCCAACCTAGCCCTTTGTGTCTGAGAAAAACGCATGTATTAGGTCGGTGGCTGCATATACCTAAGCGCACACATGCACACACCCGTTTTCACCAAATGGTGACTAATGGGCAGTTTTTGCATGAAGTAAAATATATCAGTTCTCCTTTTGCTTTTGGACTTAAAATTTTAGACAACATAATTTATCTTCTGCTTTCAAATGTATGTGGCTTTCTTATAAGTAAGATATATAACATTATACAGGAACTCTGTATTTCTTTGTATTTAAAGATTGACTTATTTCTCTTTTAAAGAGATAGTTAAAGTTGTTCAAATCATAACCTTGTTCCCAAATAATTATGGTTTACTTTTTAGTATTTCTGTAAGTGAAGCTTATGCACTCACTGAACTCATGTTGCTTACAGAGTTGATTCAGAATCCCAACTTGACCCCTGCTTTCATAGAATTTGTGACATAAAGAAGCAAATCGTTTTCTGTTTCTTTATTAAAGAAGCAGCAGCACTTGGCAGAATGACAGCTCGTATCTGAAGTGATTAACTAGAGATGTTCAATAAACATAAGACTCCAATAAAGCTTGTTCAGAGCAAGACCAATTATTCCCGATTTCCTACTGGGCACAACATTTAAATCCAGCACTCCTACTGGATTAGTAAATTATTACTACTGTCAGAAAGATAATTGGGTTCTGCTATTTACAATTATGTAATAATAACAGTTGCAAATGATAGTTTTTATTCTAGGGTAAGTTGCCAGAAAATTGGGAATTATAAAATAACAAATAATTTGGCAAATAAAAAATAAATCTATGTTTGTTTTTTTTTCAGTCACTTATGGGGTTGAAGTTAAAAGCTTTTTATAGTATGGACTTTTAAAAAAATCCTTGAGTTTATAGTTGAATTGAGTGTGTGAACTTTGAATATACATGTGATATTTCCTGTGGACAGAGGGGACTTCTAGGTTTAGAATTTCATCTTCTACCCAGGTTTTATTGAAATTCTATTTGCAGTTGGTTCACTTAGATGTTGTCGATTATTTATTAGAGATGGTCACTTTCTGATGGGCATCCTCACATTCTACCAGCAACGAAACTCATCATAACTAAGTCCCATACTTTTACCTATCATCTGTCTGTCTCTCATTGCCATCGACACCTCATTATGTCTTCCTAATGGTTGCAAATGTAGCCCTCCTGAATGCTGTCTTGATTTTAGTCTTCTGTCTTCCAGTTCTAATTGGCAGACATCTTAGTCATCTTCCTGAATATATGACTGATTTGCTCTCCTTTATAAAAATAAATGCCTGTTAAATACATGAGACTTTTAAAACTCACAATAACCTGCTTCCTGTCTTGGTTGCATCTCTTGACACAATGTGTTTTCTAAGCTCCAACCAGATATAGATGGTCAGCCTTGACTATGGTAATTTGTGAATTGTGTTTGCTTCATTCCTATCTGCTTATCTTGGCTTCTCCCTGGTGGAGCAAAAGGTTAAGATGCAGCACTACAAGCTGGTCACAGCCATTTCAATGGGAGTTCTATCTTTGCCCCGGAGGTGATCCACATGACTTAGCAGACCTCTCCTATCTTGTCCGCTGCTTCCCTCAGCAGTGTACATTGTCGATCTGCCTATTCTGCTCCCTGCTCTGTCTCTGGCGAATCCTCTCACCACTCCTGCACCTGTGGCCTGTATCCCAGTTCTGTATGCACAAATAAATAAATCTTTTTTAAAAATTGCAAAGTATCTGCTGTACTTTTGGTAGAAGGAAGCAGCTTGAACAGAATAGATTTATTGTACTTTCTCAAGGTGGGAAAATTATTGATTTTACAATGTGAATTAAAATGAGATTATCAAAGACATACCAAATCTGATTTACTTTCTTTCCAATATCTTCTACAAATACCTTTTGAAGACACGTATTCAATCAATCCATTCCTATTAAATTATTCATAACTCCCCAGTATGTTCAAAAGCCCAAGGTCTGCATGCATTGAGATGTATGAGGCAACTCCATCTGCTGGTGACCTATTTTCTGAAGCTTACTTCTTCCATGTTCAGCTTAGTCCAGTCTAAAAGCAAATTAAGTTTTTCTCTAAAGAGTACAGCTCTTTTATTCCTTTATATGCCTTTATTTGCACATGATATGGTATCTGCTAGCAAAAAAAAAAAAAGTAGAAAAGTCATGCAAATTTTTTTTTGAACATTAGAATATATGCAGAGTAGCCATTATGTTAGTAATCTTGTTTAATATTTTACAGGCAAATTTAAGAGGACCAGAAAAGATCCACGACATGCAATGACCACAGAATTTACCAATTTTAGTTCCATTACCCCTCTGAAAATTACCTAAACGCAGGCAAACATTCCATTTCTGCCCTAACTGTCCTTCTCATCTACTCAAAGACTTTCATCTCTTGTATGTGTCCTACACACATTGCCTCTTTTAGTAAAACATGTGCATTTGGTATTGTTTGCACCAATGTCATTTGCGATTGACAAGGTAATAGATTTACTTACATCTTGGTCATCTCAACACTTGATGAGAATTTTGGGATAAGACAATAAAGAGCCTCAGAAGCTCTTTTCTGTGTTTTCTGTGTGTGTGTGGGGTGGAGGGGTTAACTAGAAGTTGTCTTGCTTCACTTCTTAATTTCAGGTGGGTGGTGAAATAGGTTGCTCTGACAGAAAGTATTGTTTTATTGACAAAGGACAAAATTAAGATCGAAGGACACTACACAAGAGGTAAGTTAGCCATCAGTTGAGTGGACAGCTTATTGATTTAATACTATGGTTTACCCAATTTTACCCCCGATTCCGTCATGTGTGAGTAGAGATGAATAGGAGTAATGGAGAGTTTTCTCAAGTCGCTACTCTTTTGTTTTACTGCTTTTGCAAACAAAAGTATACTAAGTTCATCATCTCTTTACATCGCTGCTATCAAGTAGGAGAATGAAGAAAGAGCTGTCATTTCACTGTTTTCCGCTGTTTCCATTGATGACGGTTTCTAGTGAACATTCCTCCTTCACAGTGCTGCCAGCTATGTCTTGCAAGGTTTTTGGTTCTGCCTTTAGTCCAGGCTCCCTTACTTTTTTTTTTTTTTTTAATAAATTTATACATCTGTTTCTTTACATTGTTGTTCATTTCTGTATGTATTTGATCTCCCCCTCAGTGTGGTCCCCCAGTTCTTCCACCACCACCGCATCTGGGAACTATCACCACAGCCCTTTGTGCTCTTCCCTCTCTCTCTTAGCTTTTCTTCAAGCTTTGGGCCCCGCAATGCTTGGTGGGAAATAATGATTTCTTTCAGTTTAAATTCAGTATACCCTGGGCACATGTTCTCCTTTTCACAGCACCACAATCACAACATTCCTCTCAAATCGAGTTTAGTCTGAAGTCTCCTGAGAAACTCAGAAACAAATGACCCATCCCGCTTGTGGATTCCGACAGCCTGGGTCAACATGCAGCAGATAGATTAGACTCTAATCATATGCTGTCATACTTTGTTTCTTCACCAGCCATGGGTTTTATTGTTTCGCTAGTGAATTTGTAAGCTTGTTTACACAATTTGTATTCCTTTATTCATCCATCTGCTCTGAGCATATAGCATATAAACATGTACAAAATTGAATTATGCATAAAAGCTAATTTCGGAACAAAACTTTGTAAAATTTCACAATTGTAAACTTCTCTGTGCATGTTATCTCCTGAATGTTTCTTCAGCATTGCCCACTAACCACTGTTGAGAAAGAGAGGGACCAGGGCCCTCCCTGGTGTTTTGACAGGTTAAATGGGCAATACTATGAAGCACCCTGAAGCTACTACAGCATGAGTTCGATCCCAGGCTAAGGAGGTGACCCACATGGGAAGAGAGTGTCCGGTTGCCCCAGAGGTCAGACACACTTGTTTCTACTCTGCCTTGGGTTCACTAGCACCCTGAGAGTCACACACATCTCAAACCATGATTCCAAATATAGGCTCTAGGTGGAGGGAGAGAGGCCTTGTTTATCCTTTTCTCTAAACATGAAAATAGCCATAGTCTACTATAGGCATGGGGCGGGAGTGGGGGACATGAGGCATGGACAGCAATGTTCCCTTGCTAGTTTCTGTTGCCTGTGGCATTTCAGTGTGGCACTGAGGGTATCTCACAGCCAGACTGCCTGGTGCCTGCCACCATGTCAGGATGGGTCATCGTTGTGCTGAGCAGATCTCCATCTTATTTTCTCCTTTCCTTCAAACTAAAGAAAGAATCCAGGTTAATTAAAAATTTAGGGGAAATACTGTATATGTAAGCTCATTAGTATGCAAATCTAAAAGACCTAGAAGAGCTGGGGTAAACAAAGGGAGGGGTAACAATATGGACTCTATTTTGTGCTCTCTTGCTGAGCCTTTGGTATTTGCAAACAATTGCCTTTTCATTCTTGAGCTCATTGCATTAGCTGCAGTGTGTTTGGATCCATGCAGGTATTATGTGAATTGCTCCCATTGTATTCTTGAGTACTCATCTAGAAATAAACCCCAAGGACCTCCTTGGTGGTGCAAGGGGTTAAGATGGAGCCACTGCAGCACAGGTTCAATCCCCAGGCAGTGTATTTCAGTCAATCTGCCTGCTCTGCTCCCCACTCTGTCTCTGATGAATCCTTTCACCCCCTGCATCTCTGGCCTGCACCCCAGCTCCTATATGCATAAATAAATATATCTTTATCTTTAAAAATAAGTAAATAAA